ACACACACACACACACACACACACACACACACACACACACACACACACACACACATGCGGCCCCCAGCCCACCCCCCTGAGCCAAAACCCACCTGCACAAACGCGTCAAACGCGTTTACCTGCGTTCGGTGAATGCGCGTTCACCGCGTTCAAAACCTGAACGAGAAACGCGCGTTCAATGAACGTGCGGTAACACAGAACAACAACAAAACAACAACGACAACAACTCCAGCAACAGCGGTGAGCAGCGGCAGGGTGAAAGGGGCGATACGGGAGTGAAGAATGATGACAACAACAATAACGACACTAATAACAACAACACCTGTGAGCAGGGATTGGGCATAATAGGCGGCGACAGTGCGGGGGATGACAACAACAGCAACAATGACGGTGATAACAACAACAACGACAATGACAACAACAATGACAATTACAACAACAATAACAACAACAACAGCTACAAGACGTGGGGTTTGTCGCTGAAGGTCGCCACAACAATGGCTGGAGAGTTAAAGACAACGATGACAGCAGCATTAGGGAAGTTGGGGGGAAGTAGTAGCTTGGCTGGGCTGGTGAGGTGCGATTTGAGGTTGAAGGTGAGACTTCCCGTTCCCCCCCGTTCCTACCCAGTGTTTCATCCTGATGAGTTGTTTTTTTGGCACTAGGTGGGAGTAGGATAGATGACCTCCCCCTTGTTTGATCACGGCTGATTGGCTCTCAACTCTCGTGCCCTCAAGACTTGTTCACGTGGCCTCATGAGGGGTTTGATGATTACGTTTTGATCTTACATCATCATCTCTACACAGCATCGAATAGGGGATAAATGCTTCATTAGCACGAGGGCAATTCTTCCCCGTTTAGGGAAGTAATCGATGCCTCTGCTCCTTGCGATGATACAGGGAGTTACGGATATGTACTGATTGGCTTCACATATCGCGGTATAGGGATGCTGGACCCGATTTCCAGCTTATACACAGTACATCTGCATTTGGGTTTCGACCCTTGCTTTGATTGATAGGATTGGGCTCGAGGCCTTGCTGGTTATGGAGAAACAACAGAATAGGTACATAGGGTTTTCCCCACATGAACACAGATCACTGATCACATCTGAATTAGGGTTACGACTTCTAGTGCGATCGACAGAATCAGGCATGATACTTGCTTGCTATCGACATATGGTACACTAGGTAGATAGGGTTCTCCCTTCATAGGAGTCTGGACATGTTTTGATTGATGAACAAATACAGGTAGTACTAGATACATCATAGGACACAGACAATGGGTGGATAGGGTTCTCCTCCCATGGGACATGTGTAAATCGATGAACAAATACTCAGTAGGACACAGACACATATCGATGTATAGGGATGCTGGACCCGATTTCCAGCTGACACATATCACATCTTTGTACAGGGACGCCGGGTCTAGCTCCCCACCAATAGATGGAGCCCTCGACGCTGGGGCCTACTTATCGGGGATGCTCTTATCACCACGTAAAGTAGGTGTCCCGTATACGAAGTTACTAAAAAAAAAAAGAAAAAGAAAAAAGGAAAAGAAAAGAAAAAAAAACGATAGAAGGTGGGGGACAAATTGGAGGCGGTCGACCCGCTGATTACAGAGGCATGACTACCTTCGGGGTTCATACAGCCAGTACGACTAACCATTGGTACATGAATAGTACAAACAATGGTGGAGCAGCTACTGGCAAAATGCTCGGTCTTTGCGTTAGCCGGCAACCCCACCGGCGGCCCCACCCTACTCCCCAACCACCACCAATTAGGGGGGGGGGCAACAAGCATCCCCTTAATTGTGTGAGGTAGCTATGCTTGCAGGGGTCCCCTGTATAGGCTTTGGAGTAGTGCTAGGTAGGTAGTGAAAGGTGAAATTGAGAGAAGAATATAGCTTCGCAAGCCTTCATTAGATAAGGGGTGCTCTAAGAGGGGAAGGGTGTCACTAGCAGCTCCGTGGGATGACGGAGACCCGGGTCTGAGAGGCCACAGCCTCAGGAAAACAACAAACACCAATCTTTGAGTTATAAGATGTATGAACGGGACGCTGCACCCGGTTTCCAGCAGGTGCCGCTCCCCTCCAATAGACAGAGCAGCCCGACAGAGAAACCTTCAATCCTGACGGTTCTCTTACCACCGCGGGAATAGAGGGTTTACACACGGGCTATTCTTGCAAAAAAAAAAAAAAAGACCTGCAATACACTTGGAACAACATGGTACAACCATACTTGCGGCGCATCGACGTGCGCTGCACCGTGCACACACGCCGCACTGCGCACCGCGCACGACGCGCGCGCACTGGGTGCGGCGCACCCCGAAAGTAAGGGGTCGAGAAAAGAAAAAAAAGTTGGAGAGGGGTGTTTTAGACCCGAGTGGTATGTCGGGTCATAAACCACAAAAAAATATTAACAAAAATTTGAGGCCGCGCAGGGCCTCCGAAAAAAAAAAAGGGGGGAAGTTCGTTTTTTTTTTTTTTTTTTTTTTTTTTTTTTTTTTTTTTTGTGTGTGTGTGTGTGTGTGTCTATGTGTGTGTGTGTCATTATGTACGCATAGCATATCATGCTATGA